CTCAGGAACAGCAGTATCATCCTGGGCTCCCCGCCTCACACCATCATGTGCAGCAGCATCCACAGGAGCACCCCCTCTCCTCCACCAGCACCTAAGACTTACTAAAAATATCTGTGACTAAAAGTCTTGGACAGGTCATGGGCCATGACTTTTTATTTATTACCCAGGATTTGTCCATGACTTTTACTAAAAACACCCATGATTAAAACACAGCTTTATTTATAATATACCCAGCACTCCAGCTTCTGTCTATTCCAAGTGATAGAACAGACTGCTAAAGTATAAGAGATTTTAAAAATAAAAATAATGAAAAAATGTTTTAAAAAATCATATTTAACTAGCTGGCTCCTCCATCCCACATCCCTGCTTTCCTGATCTGCTGTGCTCCTCTTACTTGGTTGCATAGCCAAAGCGCTCTGCTTTTGCTAATCATCTTCATTCTGCTCTAGGTTTGGGTAGAGTTTCAGTGCGGACAAGGGCAACAGCTTCTTTAGGGCTTCACTTTCCCAGTAAGCACTGCTGATGCTCCACCCACACTCTTTGGACTCCTGCACAAGTTCCAGCATATGTTTGTGCCTCCAGCTGTAACCTGAAACCTCCCCCTCCTAAAAACACACACACACACCACCACCCCTGTGTATACAGCAGGAGCCTACACATACACACACCTCTATGTAGGCAGCTGGAACTGACACATCTCCGGTCATCTGAAGAAGTGGGCTGTGCCCACGAAAGCACATGATACCAGCTACATGTTTTGTTAGTCTATAACAGTGTTTCCCAATTTTATTTGGCCACAGAACCCTTTTAAACTCAAAAGAATTTTGCAGAACCCCTAATAACAGTCTAATGTATGGAGCTGAAGAAGTAGACCACAAATTAGTAAGGATAATAATAAACAAATGCTAAACAAGGTCATGAGATCAACATTTAGTTTAATTGCACATATTTAACAACAAAAATCACATAATATTAATTTTTTGTACATCATAAAATGTTATTGTAATGGAATTTTTTCGTGGAACCCTTATTTTCCAGGATTCCACAGAACACAATTTGGGAAACACTGGTCTATAAAGTGCTATGACACAATTTGTTGTTTTTTAAGTTTATCCTGTACAGACTAACTCGGCTACCCCCTGAAGCTTACAAACATCTAGGTATGCATCTGCAACCAACATACACATCTATGCATCGGCAGCGAGTTATATGGGCTCATGGTGCCCATGCTCCACCAATATTCAGAGCCAGGGTCCCTGCTCCAGCAATATTTGGAGCTGAGTCTCTGCCTGGCTCTGCCTGGAGTGGTCCCCGGGGCCCTGGCCCCCACCTGCCGACGCATCCTACCCGCCCCCCGGTCTCCGCAGATGCCACGGCAAGCTGCCAGGGCAGGGCGGGGCGGCCCCGCCCCCCC